AAAACGATAAATTAGATTGCAATCGAAATAAATAATGGTAAAGTAAATGCAAACTGCGCGAATTAAATAGTCTTAGCCTTGGAAGGTTAATCACCCTCGAGCAAGGTATGATTCGATCAGATACAGAAGAACAAAAGTTTAAAGAGAAATAATAATGATGTATTACTTTGGAGTGCGTGTTACAATGTGTTCAATGAATTATTAGACCCCCTTTTATATAGTAAAAGAGTCATACTTTAGATACAATTCTATAAAAGGTAAAAAAAATTTGATTTGCTGATTGGCGGTTCTTTACTGATACGCGTCGAGATACCCGCCGCAACATTTGTCCGGTTACGGATATTTCGGTCTTCTGTTGGTTATGCTAACAATGTTTCTCCGAACTCATTCGGGGTTAGGGTCGATTCCGGGGTCTCGGATTCAATATTCTCGAAGGCAAATGTTCTGACCCCGAATTCTAACCCGATGTGACTTGGGGCCGATCTTCAGTCTTGCATTGTCATGTTCCGAGCCTGTCCTACCGTATACAGAAATATTAATGAGCATTGGGTAATATGATATACGAGTAATTTATTTTGACGATTTCATTCATGGAAACATTATTTAATTTGTTTTCTTCTATTATATATATATTTCCAGATTCATGACTAATAGTTCCTTCTGGCTTCATTGTAACTGACAGCTATTTAGCAGATATTATCTCCGTAACTCCAAGTTCTGTCGTCTTGGTAGGAGAGAAGAAAAAATTATTTTTTTGTAGTCGATGTTTAAATCAAGCAAATAAATCATGATATTACTATACTGTATATTTTGCATATAACATGTGTATTACTAATTAAACATGATTAAATTCATATGTATTTCCAGTTTTATTTATGTAGGTTTTAAGATATTTTTTGATTTGATGCAAATACTGATAAGTATTTTCATGGATAGAGGGCACATCCGCACATGAAAGACTAAACTTTGAATAATTCCTTAAAAACAAATTTAAAAAGAAAATATATGAGGGAGAAGAGAGCATCATAGATTAATCATAAGTTGAATAAAATTTTACCCAATCTCGTTCTTTTGCCAAATTTTGCCTGATTCGTAGCCTTTTCTTTTTGACATAATTAACCTTAGAGTAAAAGAAACTCAACTGGACAACAGTAACTAGGAAACTTTGAAAATCAAACTCGTAACATTACGATTTCACTTCTTAGCCTATGAACTATTTCTTTACAGACCCAAACTCTTACTTGTTTGGTTTCTCTTTTGCAATTATGCTTTGTAATATCAAACTTTTCCTCTCCACTAATACTCCATATCTTTATATCAATGGGAACCCGTTATTACGAGTTGATATTTTTATACAATTAAAACCGAGCCCACTTAATTTTTCTATCTGATCGGGACTAGGAAGCTGCATCGAAGGTCGGCCCCGTAGTGGATCAGACCAAAGTACGAGGACAAAGTACCAAGTTAGGGATTCGAGGTACCTGTCGAGATCGAGGCCAGCAGCGATCGAGATCGAATAAGACAGACATCGAGCAAGATCAAAGATCATGGCGGAAATTTTGGAACGGATCAAATTAGGAACGGTTATTTAGCTAATTATGAGATTTCCTTTTGTAATTAGAGTTATACCATAAGTAGAATTCTTTTACTATATAAAGGGGTTATTAACCATTTGTATGGACATATTGTTCACAGATATAAAAGCAATATAATTCTCTTTCTCGTTTATACTATTGTTCATCAGCTGTTATATTTCAATTGTTCTTGCATCAACCAGTTCGAGGGTATCCAAACTCGAGGGCTGAGTTTTATTCTAACACTGGTTTGCTTTACTTTATAGTTCATTTCTGTTATTAATCTTCATATTTATCAATTGGTATTAAGTGAAATCGTGTATCCTTAGAACCTCATTATAAGTTCAATTGTTATTCAATTTTAAGGGTAAACAGACATATAAACTCTTTTATAATTCATGTATAATTTTTGTACAACCTTATATATATATATATATAGTAAATTCAGCAAATTCCTCAAGGAAACCAAGTGCTTACGGACCCATTAAGGATCCACTAACACCTGGATATGAAACAGACAAACCAAATACATATTTTTGTGAAAGGATTCGATTGATTTGAATCCAGAGATCTTTTACTGGTATTAAAAAAGAAAAATTTTCACAAACCACTATTGTTTAGCGGTTATTAGTTAGTTGTAGTTATCATTTACTATATTATTTCCTATAGCTATGTTTTTAGTTTTTTAAGAGTGTATTTGATGTATTTAAGCTAATGTATTCATGAATACAGTAGCAAATGTCGGCGTGAAACAGGGGACTACAACTATACAGATTATTGTATTCAACTGTATTCGACTCAATACACTAACGTAAATAGCGCAATTCATGGTCTATTCAGTTTTTTTTAAACGGAAAGTGAATTAATTAATATTATAGACTCATAATATAACTCAACTAACTCAATTACACCACCCATAATCTGTTTTGACGCCAATAATCTGATTTTTTTTTTCTAAAATGATAGATACATCAAAATAGAGCAGTGGCCGATCGTCCGTTTCTTCCATTTTCTGTTGATTTTGTTTCGTGGGTGTTTCTGTTTTTCAAGCAATAAAACAGAAAATTCATACAATTATATACATAAATCGGTATAATTCAATTTTACATATGGCAAGTTTAATCGCTCTGCTGCATCATTCTGGCAAGTGGGACAGTGAGAGGAACTATGTCGATTATTCGATTGAGGGGATACTAATAAAGGAGCATGCGTCGTACAATGATTTGGTTGCTTCGATTTCTAAACAACTCGACATAGATTTGCGCTCAAAGTCAATCAAAATTGAATATAAAGTAGATGGAATATTCACGCCAATGGAAATACATAACGACATGAGTTACAAGGTGTATGTAGAGTTGAAAAAGGCGAACAGAGAATTTGGGATGTATCCTTTGTGTATAACTACAATTGACAAAGAAGTTGTAGCTGGAGGTAGTTTAATTGAAGGCGACATTGTGCAACTTGACGAAGCACATCAAAGGTGTAATTTTGATACAGATTATACACTTGCTATATAGTCTTTCAACTCAGGAGAACCAATTGAGGTATTCGAATGGGACACGGATTTGATTATTTGAAAAACTAATCAAATAGAGGTTATGGCTGGACAAGTATATAAGGATAAGGCTACATTGAAACATGTGATGGAGCATTATATAATATCTGAAAGATTTCAATTACGGGTTGATAGGTCTAATGCTATCAGGTATGAGTGTTATTAATTACAACTTGTTAAACATCAAGTTATATTCAAGTGTATTATTGTGTAAAGTGAGTGTAAAATTATATATTGTTTCCATGGCAGAATATTTAAATTGTATTTAGATGTATTTAAATTTGTTTGGGTATATTTACATAACTTTCAAATATTAAACATATAATAATTATTAATTTGACTTTCAAAGACATGTATTCATCTGTATTTTAATGATGAATATTTATTACAGTGACTTTCACTGGATATTCTTAGATGTATTTATACGTATGTGATTGTATATATATAACTACAGCCGTAATCACACGTAGACATTTGTATTTTGAGATTTTTTATATATTGTATTCTTGGTAGAATTTTTATTTATATGTATTCAGATGTGTTTGAATGTATATTCTTGACTTTCACCGGAGTTTCTATGTATTTCATACAAATGTATTCATCTGTATTTTACTGGTAAAAATAGATATTACAGTGGCTTTCGCTGTTTGTTTTTAGATATATTTATAGATATTTAAATGTATACATATAATTACAGTCTTATTCACATATATATGTTTGTATTTTATAATAATGTATATATATGTAACAATGTATTCGCATTATATTAGTGAATTATTGATTATTTATACTCATCGTATATATTGCGAAAATATTATTTGCAGCTATACATTATTATATATATCAGAGGATTGTGAATGGAGATTTAAGGCATCTAGCATTAACAAATCACAAATGTTCAAAGTGAGATAGTTCAATGATAAGCATACATGTCCGTTGAAGGATAAGGTGTATGAGCAACGTCAAGCAAGTAGCAGTTTTATCGGTGGTATGATTAGGTCCAAGCTTACTAATCGTAAGAGGAAATATACCCCCAAAGGATATAATTGATGATGTAAAATCAGATTTTGGTGTAGATGTTAGGTACATGTTGGCGTGGTGGGCTAAATAAAAGGCAATGAATTTCATGAGAGGTGAACCGGTTGATTCATACAATAAATTACCAGGATAGTTATATACAATGGATATGATATATCCTGGTTCGCACATTAGAATGGTAAAATCGCCAAAAAATGAGTTCATGTATGTGTATATCTTTGTATGCCTTTATAAAGGAGTTCGATCATTGTAGACCCATTGTGGTTGTGGATGGAAGCCACTTAAAATCGTATTACACCGGGACATTCGTCTCGGCCAGCACGTTGGATGGTGCAGGTGAGTATGGGGATTATAATAAGATTTGGTAATATTACTGCCTATTAAAGATTGAAATACATATTTATAATATGTATGCAATTATCTTTACAGATCATATACTGCCACTAGCATATGGTGTTATTGATTCAGAGAACAATGCTGTTTGGTCGTGGTTCTTTGAGCAATTTAAGGAAGTATATGGTGAGAGGAAAAACATGCGCATCGTTTCAGATAGGAATGAGAGTATCATCAAATCTGTATCAAGAGTGTATTTAGTGGTACCACATTTTGCTTGTATATGGCATCTATGGAACAACGTATATAAGAAATTCAAAAAGAGTCATTCAAAGTTGAGCGAGATATACTTCTCGATGGCAAAAGCATACACACAGGCAGAATTTGACAGTCTAATGGAGAATGTGAAGAAGGTAGATATTAGGGTGAAAGAATACTTGAAGTTAGCTGGATACGAAAAATAGGCTAGGTTGTATGCACCTGTTAACAGGGGATGGACCATGACGTCAAATATTGCTGAGTCAATCAATGCCGCACTTGTGTCAGCAAGGGAATTGCCAATATACGACTTCCTCGAAGAAGTTAGGAAGATGTTTGGACGTTGTAATTGCAGCAATCGAAAAGAAGCTTCAGAGACATACACAACGCTTGAAAAAAAATATCAGGATATGCTTACCTTAAATGAGGCAATATCTACACACATGACTGTAAGTTATTTTTTTATAAGTTATTGTATCCTATATTTATCCATGGTACAAGGTGTATTTATTTTTGATACAATTTCTACTATTCAAAATACAGAACTTATGCTAATTGTATCGTTAGTTGAATTTAATAGTTTTGTTTCTAACCATATGCACTTCATAAGCAGATAATCTTTAATATTCTGCCAGCCTACATATAGAATGTATTCCATTGTATTCAATGTATTTCATTGAATATAGCTGTATTTTTTTGTATTTTATATATACATATATGTTTGTATTCAATATAAATTTGTTTGAATTCAATATATATGATGATTCTGAAAGCTAAATAAAAGTTTAATGTTGTATATTTAAATTATATTTTAATTATATATCTATATTGTAATTAATACGTCTATTCTTTGATATATAAATGATTTTTTTTAAAATGTTTTAAACTAATTGGTCTATGTTTAAATGTAGGTGGTACCATCGACTGAATACTTGCATACGATGAACGATGAAGGAAGGCATTACACCGTGTGCCTCTTAGAGAGAAAATGTAGTTGTAGGCGGTTCCAAGTTGATGAATTACCATGCCAACACGCTTGGGCTGTCTTGAAGAGAAAGTTTCTAATGCCAGAAGATTATTGCTCTGACTATTACAAACCAAAGTCTATTGTAATGACATATGAGGTGCCCGTGTATCCACTGCCAGACCGAAATGTATGGAATATACCAGCACATATATCAGAGGAAGTTATCTTACCACCTGATGTGTGGCTATAATTCCATAGTTTCGTACATTATGTGCCTTGCATTTTACATGCTTTAATGATAAATTACACTTTATTTGTGCATAATGGAGTCTATTTTATATGTAGGTGAATTGGAGTTGAAAGTAGAGCAAAAAGAATACTTAAACATTGAAAGTGTGCTTGAGAACAGTGAAAAGGAGAGACAAGCTTTAGCCTGGCGAGGCCAGCCTAGGGCCAGGCTGGACCAGGCTTTAGCCTGACGAGGACAGCCTAAGGCCAGGCTGAACCAGGTTTTAGCCTGGCGAGGCCAGCCAAGCGTTAGGCTGGCGACGCCAGGCATAACGCCAGGTCCAATCCGAGTTTTTAAGACTTAATTCATTCCGGGTTTGACTAGGACCTGGCCCACACATTTAGGGTTTCTTCTACACATATAAATAGACCTAAAACACCACTTGGAAGATGGTTGTTTTCAGCAGCCAAAAAGGGGGTCTATGAGCAGCCACATTTTTGGGCAGCTAGAGGCAAGGAGAGCTGGTGGAATCACCTCTTGGAAGTTAGAATCATCTATTTCTACATCTTTTTATCTTTACTCTGTATTTTAATTATGCAAAATATTTGGAATATTGTTACTATGAGTATGAGTAGCTAACTTCCTAATCTAGGGTTTTGATGAAACATATTGAAGGATGATTTTCTTGTTACGTTAATATAGATTTGCCGTAGTATTTTCTCTATTTGTTCAACTATATTATTCTTGTGGTTGATTGAAGGGCCCTCAATTAACTTTGCCTATTTAGTATGTATTACTCGGGAGAGAGTGCATATTTAGGTAGTTGTTGAACAACATCACTCCTAAACGTATATGAGAGATCAATACAGAGGTTTAAAGGTGGGATTAGGGATAACGAAACCTTGGTGCGACCTGAGTGAGCTGTACTTAATACCAGCTAGCGTAATTCGGGAGAATATATCTAGTAGATTATGGTAATTACTCGGGAGAGAGTTACGACAGTTAGAGTGCTCATGGTCGATAGAGAAGACTTAGGCAAATTTATAGGAAACGTAGCGGAAAGGATTCCGACAATTGGAAAAATCATAACTCTAAACCTCCTTAGTCTTATCTAGAATTTCATCCATGTTAGTTGATAATTTTACTGCTTTATAATATTTGCTAGTTAATTAGTAAAAATAAAAATCAAATATTTATAACTAGAAAATTACTTGAACTTGTGTTTCTTTGCAATATTGAACAGCTGTAGCTAAGCCTTAGTTCTCTGTGGGATTCGACTCCGGACTTGTAAACCGGATTATATTTGCAACGATCGCTTAGTCTTTTTTATAAGGCATAGTTGGGCGTGATCACCACCCAAATGAAAAAGACCTCCTGGAAGGCCAAAGAAGAAGCGCGGTAAGCCGTTCAGTGAATTGCTACAGAAGAAAAATCAACATTCATGTAGCATATGTGGGCATGAAGGTCATAATAAGTGTACTTGTAGAAATGCTCCACGTAGGACTTAGTTCACAATCTGACTTGTATTAGTGCTATAACGATGTGTCATAGATTCAGGTTATATTTTGAAATAATACATTTTGAATTTTTACATGAATATATTCTGGATATACTTAGTTGGTGTATTAAATCTGAATACATAATTACAATACGACTATTACATATCAATACAAAAT